TTAAAGTAATATACAGTTTTAAGTCTAAGTTATAATTTATGTATCTTTATTTAATGGAGGATATTGTATAAAATTGTTTTTTGAGCTTTATATCATGTTATAATGTAATTCCCTCATTAAACATGTAACCAGAGTGTTGTTTTGACTCATTCATGCATGCTTGAGAAATCCTTGAATCTCCTGTAGACATGTGGAGCTGACTRCACATTTGGTGGTACAAAGCGCCACCTATTTATACAAAGCTCCTCCTTGGATCTCAGTCTGCAGCCGAGCTCCAGACCAAAAATAAAGTTCAAAACTATGGCAGAAGTCGTACCGACCACCAATCTGCATGCTCCAGTCTTCCCTCCTTCCTGAAACCCCCCCCCCCTCCTCTCAGATATTTAACTAGAGGAGTGTGCCTGTTCTGTTTTACAACACCCTCTTTCAGCAGGTGATGTTTCAGGATGCCCTGCAGATCGTCAGTCCACCAAGAGTTTTTTTTTTTTACGTAAATTATGTGAACTTCCATAAACAAGGGCAACCTGCCCCTATAGTCAGGTAGGTTGTAACAAAGGAACTATTTGACATCAACTCACCAGGGATTTGATAATAATAAAGAGGTTTGAATAGGTGCCATTTGTAGTGGATAAATGTGTGTACTTTTTTAAAAAATTTGAGAACTCTAACTCTAAAACTGAGTGAATTACACGAAGTAAAATGTGTGACAACCACACCCTGTCTCCCATAACTTTTTTCCCTCTCTGTAAATTGTGTAACCTTAAGCAGCAGAGGGGCTGACCACAACTATTGTATGAAACCAGAGGAAGACACAGAATAAATTAGCGCTGGAGTGGATCTGCGTTGTTTTGTTAACTTTGATCAGATAGTGGACAAAGAAGCAAAGAGCAGACCTGAAACTGAGAACCAGTGTTGTGTTTTTGCTCCTCTCCTCTCAGTGAAGTTCCAGTCAGGTCTCTATGGAGGGAACAACAACAGCAGCTCTCCTCTCTCCGCCTCTGGAAATGCGGCCATCGTGTGCGAGCGCTGCCGGGAGGTCTGTCGGGGGGAGGTGGTGCGTGTCAAGAACACACACTTCCACGTTCACTGCTTCACCTGCCAAGGTAAGAAACATTAAATGTGTTCAAACGAAACATACCTCTGTGTTTTCTACTCATCCACACCCAGGTGTGGTCCTAGCCTGTTTGGTGCCTCATCTCTAGCTCAGAGGACACAAATATGTAGGTCAAGTATATGTGGAAAATAATACATTTTTAAGTGATTTTTAAGTGTCATTTTTTAAGTTTGAACTGATTTTAATTTTTCAAACAAGGCCATCGGTTGGATGAAATCCTATCTTTCTAATAGAGTTTAGGCTGTACAGATTGGTGACTCACTCTCAGCAAATCTTAATTGCATTGCTGGGGTCCCTCAAGGCTCTATATTAGGACCAGTTCTTTTTAGTCTCTATGTTAATGACTTACCTGAAGTATGTTCAAGTGTCAAAGTTCAGCTGCATGCAGACGATACTGTATTGTACACACATGCTAAAACAGTGCAGGAAGCAGCTGCTTTATTATCTACTGCTATGGTTCCAGTATGCAACTGGCTTCAAGATTCATGTTTGTATCCTAACACAAAAAAAAAAAAAAACTGTTTGCATGTTTTTTTCATGCCAGAATCAGATGACCCAAAACCAAGTGTTTTAGTCACTTGAGAGAGACTTGATGTGGTGGACCAGTTCAAGTACCTTGGTCTTTTGTTTGACACAAATCTTACTTTTAAGCAACACATTAAGAAAACTATTAATGTAATAAAATTCGACTTAGCCAATTTTCATCATATTAGACCTTTTCCCACTACACACGCAGCTAAAATGTATATGCATGCAATGATTTTTTCTCATATTTCTTATTGTCTTACAACTTGGTCCCATACAACAGCAAATGTGTTAAAACCCATCAAGTCTCTTTTCAAAAAGACAATTAAAGTTTTTGACAGACAACCTTGTAATGTTCATTACTGTTAAATCATTGATAAATACAAGATCTTGGACTTCGAAAATTATCAAAGGTTCAGTAATTTAAGTCTTGTTTTTAGGGTCTTAAATGGACAAGCTCCTCCACCTTTAAAGGATTTTATTCAGAATGAATAGGTCTCAAACTATAGAGGGGACTGTGTTGTCACAAAACGGAGAACGGAGTGTGGTCGAAAGGTGACGTCAATCCGAGGAACACTCTTATGGAATGAGCGACCTGCAAATATCAGAGACTGTGATAATTATTCCATTTTTAAAAAGAAACAAAGTTTGGCTGAAAGCAAATCAGTCATGCATTCATCTGTAACACAATTAACTGTAGACCTTGTAGACTGAGGAGTTTGTGTGTTTGTTGGGCAGTGTTGAATTTTGTCTGTTTTGTGCACTTGTTTTATGAACTGTTACCTTTTTATCTGCTCAGGAMTATGGATGAAATATAGCTCTTGTGCTAATTCCGGCGCATTTATATTCACAGAATATTGATTAATGTGCATTGTCCTTTTAAAATAAATAAATGAAATAAGTGGAGGTGGGGGGCGTGGCTACGAGCACCCCCAACAAGATGCCGCCATGGGCAACAGCCCACCTCAACCATATCAAAAACCACTACTGTCCACACCCCTTATGGACTCTCACATCAGCTTATGTCCGTTCTCTTTAGCTCCCACATTTATTTGTGTGGGTTGATTTTTCCAGTCCTGGTCTAATGCATGGCTTTCCATTTGGAAATTATACCCAAATCAATTTGCATAATTAAATATTAAATTATTGCTTGTGCTCAGACAAGATGGAACCAGGACAACTGGAGCAGACTCGCCGAGTTCGATTTGAGACCAAGATTTGAATCAGTAAAACTGTTTATTCTAGAAGTAAGGCCAACTGGAATAACTTTAATGTTAAAAAGAGCAGAGGTTTTTCTATTAAGAAAAGAAGTGGAGATAAATMTGCATCATATCTGATCTTTGATTAATTTTCCAAGTTTTTTAATACTTCTTCAAGCATTTTTTTAAAAATATTGCACTGTGTCCTGCAGTACATGGCTTCAGTAAAACTAAAGCAAAGTTGAGCTTTAATGAAATAATTTGCAGTTGATGTGATATTACAAGTGTTTTGTTCTGCATATACTCATCACAACAAGCTGAGGATTAGGTCATAATTGGTCAAAGTGACATAAGAACATTTTCAGATTCCTGGCTTTTTAARTGAAATTTTGAGGATAAGCCTTGGTTTTTTTTCTTAATAACGATAATCCATTAATATTTGGTCTGGATCCTATATTTAGGTTATTCTACTAAGAAATTTTGATTTCATTTTAAATAAGGAACCTCAGATAGGAGTTTGATTACAAGATTCACCAACTGAAAAGAAAAAAAGGATTTGGTGCTCAGGGAAAATTGTAAAAAAAAATTAAGTTTTTTTTGCTCAAAACCATGTATTTTTGTTGCTAATACTCAAAAAGAGCTTCAAAAAGATTATTTTTTTCAGACTTCACATTCAAATGATCTATTGATTATAWTTAGACAAAATGTAATTATTACAAACATTTTAATCCAATGCTTATAGCTGCATATTTATGCACAAACAACTTTAGGTCTTAATCCTCGGTTCATTTAGTCACGTTTATACAGTATCTTGTAGTGTGACTTTGCAGTTGTATGCAAATTTGACTGCATTTTCTATTTGAATATGCTTCCACGGTTGATCTCCATCAGTGACCAGATGGGACAGAACCCAGTTAAAGAGGTCTGGAGTCAGCAGCTGCAGCTTTGCAGTGCAGTCAGCAGGTTTTCAGCCTGTAGTCAGGCTCCAACCAGCTAACCTTCTTTCAGAGGCTGGGACCTCCGCGGTCCCAAAGCAGGACAACACAGATCTGATCTGAAGTAACATCGCCTCGGTGCTCTCAGTCACAAAGCACCACAGAGGAAGAGTTTCTTTTTACATAAAGCATTATATTTATTCCAGCTCATGCAATGTTCTGGATATTTTTTAAAGGGATCCACAATTACTTGTAACATTAGACTTTATTTGACAAACATATATTTTAACTGTAAAATAAAGACTGTGAAAATACTGTAGGCTGTTTAGTTTTGTAAATTTTTAAAAATATATTTTAACACGAATGGAGCCATTTTATTTACACATAAAGCATTCTGGGTAAATAATGACGTGGATAGGTCCTCGGTGTGAGTGAGC